TGCTGCATATATTCAGTACTGGTACTGGTACTAATACAGTTGGCAGTGGACTTTGGGCCCAACTATGCCAATGATATGCGTAAGATGTAACCCATCGCCCCGAGTTGAGTAATCCGTACTTTGTAAATAGAAAACGCGCACATCATAGTCACAGCCCCCGTGAAACTTTTTCTTGGCAGGCCGATGACCGTGAAACATAATCATCGTACGAATATTGATGGATATGCGCCCCCGTCTCGTCTTTTCCCGCCCAACTAAGCCCTGCGTGTATTAGTGGGCTTGGCAGGCATTCTTCCATCTGTCAGGGCAATCAATGTACCAAAGTCATCAGACGGAAAACATTAAAAAATTTGGGCTCTTGGATCCCATAAATTTGATTGACTCGTGAAACCTCCAAGTTCGTTCTTACCCAGTAAATTTAAAATTGTTTCTTCTTTTTTTCATTTGGGCCGCTTGGCTGTGGCTGGGAAAGAACCATGTTCGTCTGCTCATGTGGCGCTCACTGGCCGGGCTTGATTCTCAGCCCAACAGTAAACCAAGGTTCCACCATACCTCACGCTACTTTCTCTTTCTCTCTCTCATTTTTTGACCATTTCTGACCATTTCCTTCTTTTTTTCCTCTTGCTCATGACTTGTCGTCGGAGCCACTTTCATTTATCAGCTACACCGACTTCTCAACTCGAATACTAGTTCAAACAGAAGAGGATTTCACGATAGCTTCAAGCTGGGACCACTGCCTTCATTCCCTTCTTTTTTTTGACTTTTTGCTGGCGCTTCTCGCCTACACCCCCCCTTCCCCCCTTCCCCCCCCGGGTCGAGTAATCAATCCCCATTATATGTATCCGTAGGTCGATATGCGATTATGCAGTCATGGACTATCGGGCACGCCCACTGCATGCATGCTGTCGGCTAATAAACGTTGCTAATAATTATTTTGTTGCCCATCACCCACATTGTTGCTTCTGCACTTTAATCAATCTCTTGGCTGTAGCGAATAAGAAGGAAGGAAACACATATGGGTAGGGAATGGGATGGATAGCGGCGCCACGGGCTCGGCAATCAGCCAAACCCTTTATTAATTAATTACTGTGTAAAACTGACATTTTGTGCCATGTTCCATGGTTCGAAACGCCCAGCCACGGCAAATATACAATCCTGCCCCCCCTTTCCTTCCGCGCCGGCGTTTCTTTACATCTACATGCATACGGTTGCATACGGTTGCATACGGTTGTATACCTTTGTATACGTTTACACGAGGCCAATATAAAACGGTTCTGCATCATCTGATGCGCGAAGACCCCCGCCTGTCTGGCAGCCACGTTTCCAAATGCAGGACGAAAAAGGAAATTATTGGCGGGCGAGAGCGAAGCGAATTCAATTATGCGACCATCCTCTTCTCAAAAGGCCGATAAAACTGCGGTCAACTACACTACACCAAAGGCAGCCCTGTCATTGCCAATGTCTGTTTACCGCATGCAGCCACACAGAATGGCCCGGCGGATAAAATGCCAAAGTTTTGCTATATACCCGACAGAGCAACTTATTCCACAGAATATCATATGATATCCCGTCGATTCGTCCCCCCCTCCCCCCCCCCTCCTCCCCCCACACGTCTGAGCCGACTATGACGTCGGGACTTTCCGCCCTTGTCGTGAAAGGGTTGCGCGAGCCCCTGCGACGCCGCACATGGCAATGGGGTAGCACCGCCGTCTGGCTTGCTTTTTTATTACCTGTTCACTTTTTTTTTTTTCTTTTTTTTTTTTTGCGCCATACCCGGAATGGGAGGTTACAAAAGGGATGTGATGCATCAATATGCGATTGAACCGGCTGTCAGACGCCACACCCGTTGAAGATGCTTGCTTGCCAAGCTTTGGGCCATTCCTTTTGCTCATGCCAAGTGCTAGATTTTTCGTGATTTTGTCTTCTTCTTGTTCTTCTTTCTTGTTCGTCTTTCATGATTCATGAACCTTCAGATGAGCCAATCAAGAACCTACCTGCTCAAGTATTACACATCGCGGCTACACGCCCGGCGCGGAACAAGGTGAGCGGTTAACACCACCTCACCGCTCCACGATACTCCACCGCGGTAAACAGAAGATTGCTCTTGTTTTGTGTCAGGTTATGTCATGTTCTCGCTGTATCAATAGCCGTCATAACATGCCTATCACGACGCGCGAGTAATTTAACCACAGAAAAGCCTGCACAAGTGTCATTCTGGCCGACCCGGCCGCAGAATCAAGTCGTGCTGACCGCATCGGCCGGGCCTTCCTCCATCAACCTGCAGCCTGCAGATGTCTAGTCCCAACGCAATGGCCACATTGCCCAGACCGAAGCCGGCCGATGCCGGACAATGTGGGCATGTATGTCTTCTTACCAGTACTACGGATTACTTGCCCATGAGATTCCCATTTGCCCCTCTTGTTGGAAACGTTTTTTACAATCGGGGCAAGGGATCAATGCCATATAAAAGTCGACGTCGTATTATAATGGGAACCTGCAGCCCCCGGTCGCTTGTTGCTCGCCGCATAAGGCATTTCACGCAGACATATGATGGATGAAATCTGGATACGAAGGTTTTCTATACCCCTCTTTCACCGTGTTTCAGCGCATTCGTTATATGCCTAATCAACTATATGTTATCATTCTTTGCGCAACTCTTCGACGCCAACTTGCGCCCGGCCCATTTCCAACTCCACCGACAACATGATTCTCCATCGATCCGAATCTATAAATTTTAAATGGGAATCGGGGGGGGGGGGTCGAAACGAATCCCACATACGAAAAGT